CCCCCCACTCCAAAATCCCTCCTTAGCTTTACAACTGTCAGTTACCTGTTGACGGGTTATCCGCCGGGGAATACGCCGTGCTGAGCGCCCGCGGCGGGATTGGGGTTTCCAAGTGTTCTGTGCCTTACCCCTTCGCTTAACTCCGTTATGCGACTTTGTACCGCCCCCCCGCCCTTCGATGACCATTGTGTGTGCACGTTGTAAGATGGCATTAGGACTGGCGTCCTAGCAACATCTTACACCGAGTCAATCCACTGCACCCTTACAGGGGAATCTTAGGTAAACGGCGAACAACTTGTCCGCAATGGAAGCGAATGCTAGAAAGAGGTGGTTGGATTTAAAGAAATAATTTTCAGTTGATTCTACTTATATGGCTTTAGCTTGTGACCTCCACCTTCTCCATTCCCATTGGTTGGTCTATGTGCAGTTCGGTCTGATTTACTTAAGCGCCAATCAATTTTCCCTTCAGCTTTTTCTATTAGCTCCCAATTTCCGTTTTTGAACAGTACGGGACCATGCCAATTAATTATCTACTCAGTTAAACAACAGGTGTTGTCGCGGTTTGTATCATAGTTTTTAAGTTGTTGTTCCAATTTTTCTGAAGCTTTTTCCTATAAACCCCACCCGTAAAACCTCTATGACCACGGCACCCGTATTATACGAACCTATCTGACTGCGCGTACTGGGCTCCCACCCTGTCTTTCTCCTCCCTTTCGCCACGCACTTCGTTTGGTCGCACTCTGCTGTCCTCCACAGTTACCAACCTTTCTGTTAATTGCTACTTACTGCTGTCTGTGTTCTTCCTCCCTGACACTAGGTGCAGCAGCAGTAGTAGTATCAGTATTAGTGGTTTTAGTAGTAGTAGTAGTTCTAGCAGTAGTAGCAATAGTAGTCATGTTAGTAGTGGTATTAGTAGAAGTAATGGACTTAGTTGTAGTATTAAGAGAAGTATTAGTTGTTGCATCAGTAGCAGTAGTTATGTTAGTAAGAGTAATCGTACTAGTAATAGCAGTGGTACTGGCAGCAGGAATAGTTGGAGGGCCAATAGAG